GTACAAACTTACACACATACACACATACAAATGCTACCAAAAACATAACCTTCTGGCTAAGGTACTAATAACAAGTTGGTGTAAATTAATTATGGATATATACCTGTCACTCATCTACCTGTACAAGATAGTTTTTATTGCATTCCTCATTTCTGATGGGGACTCCACACCCCAGTGATCCGTTATTGGCAAAACAGATCTTCCATTACATGTGAGGTTAACGATGCAGACTTGTCCTCAGGCTCTTAGTTTTATTACTCCCGTTTACTGCCTCATTAGGCCATAGATAGATAGTAGTGTACGGGTGTAACTCCTACCATTAGTCTACTGACACAACACTGAAAGTTATGCTGATGAAGGTTAGACATCCAGGTAAATGATACTCATACACAATTCAAACTGTACTAACTGGATAAGTTACGAAAACTAAATCTGGCTGTTGCCAGTAACATCTTTAACTCTTCTTCAACATCACTAATTTTAAAAATGAATTGTGAGGCAAAAATGCAATGTTGCTGATGGAAGACAGTTGCTTGTTTCATATCGTAGGCGGGATCTAGCTATTTATTGGTGGTACCAAAAAATAAAGGGTTTCCTCACATACTTTTTGGACTATTTCTAATGCTATGAACATGAAACGATGTTGAAAATGTGATAAAAAATGGTAATAAACAACAATATCAGACAGATTTCCTCATCCAGAATATTTGTTGTATTATCACCCTGAAATTACATTGGATGCTTTTAAAACACAAGTCGTCAACTTTTTTTTCAGTTCCAACTTTGTCTCCCAAAAAATATACGCAGCTTAGTCTGTAACAGTGACTGTACATTCATGAATAATCCAGGAATGAAGAGAGCCGAGAAGAAATGTTAACTGCCTGAAAGTAACACCAGCCGCAAGGTTTGATCAAGTATTCTGTACACCCAGTAGTCTCACCTTCTTTAAGTGCCTGCCAATTGTTCCCACATGATGTATCGCAGGTCTACCGTAAGCTTCCAGGACAAGGTTTCCAGGGCCCCCCTGGGGGGTGCGTTATTAACCTAATCATACCATAATGGATTAGAACGCATCCAAGGTCGCGCCCTTGCCCCCGGCGCCATGTCACCTACATTTTAATGAGGAGAAGAACCCCCCCCAGGAGAATCCTCAGGTGTCATTGGAATCTCAATTTAGAACACTTGGCACTTGTGGTTTCTTTCCCTGTAGTTTATGGATTTTTCCATTACACTTTGTGGGAGACAGTCATCTTATAATAGACAAGTTATGATATGCAATGTGATTAGATGTAACCTGGGAGAAACTTGAAAGGTTATACTAGCTTACTCCAAACATCTAAAATAAATGTAGCCTTAATCTAAAAGTACAATAATGATTAAAAATGGATGAAAAGAGACAATGCATGCCGAGGTACATTAAAGGCTCTGATCATTTGGGTTTCAGGCAATTAAGCAATGAAAATGCATAAAGAATATTGATCTTTAAGATTTAATTCAACCTGAATAATGGTTGAGAGCATGTAATAAAAGAAAGCTGTTTGAGTAGTCTTGAGTAAAAATATACAAGCATACAATGCAAAATTTGAATACCTATCTGTCCATCTATTGAGAGGATGGTAGTACTCTGAGATCACCATGTTATGGCAAGGTGGTTTGAGGGTTGTTGGCTTGGATCTAAAAAGTTCTGGGTTTGAATCCTTAGCGGGTCCCAGGTAAAAATTTCTTCAGGTTGGTGTATGATTGAATATGGGAGCAGAGTTCTTTCTTCACAACCACTCGTGCAACAAGAGCTGACGTTTCCATGACCACCTGTCAGATAAAAGATAATGCCCTGATGAAGATGACAGAAAGTACTTGAAATGTTGGCTCTAGTTAAATAAGTGGTTGTTATAGAATGCTACACTGCAATCCCATTTTGACAAGACTCTTTGTGGCATGTCCTTAACATGACATGCCCACGCTAAGAGTGCTTGGGGCAGAAGGGATCCACTCTCTTGTCAGTGTCAGGGTTTACGTGATTCAAAGTCCTCCTCAGAGAGGATTGCTGTGCTTGAAAAATGTGAGGACTGTGTGAAAGGTTTTGCAGCCTGTGACCCCAAAAAATATCTTATAAAGGCTGTATTGCCTTCTGAGTGAAGCCACTTTCTTTGGTCAGTGTCAAAATTTATTACCAAGTTTTCCCTTTGAAAGGGCAGTGGCATTTTGCTGTATGTTTCTAACATATCAGTTGAGATGCATGGTTCATGGCCTAATATGGAGTTGTATGAAGCTGAGACCGATGGTACCTATGGCCCTACTTTTATGGACCTTTCTGCTTACTAACTGAAGAACCTTCCTTGTATCAGTGTCAGAATGAAGTTACTAAATCTAGCATTTCCTTAGAGAGGAAGGTAGCATTTTGTTGAATGTGGAATTGTGTAAGGTTGAAATACATAGTTCATGACCTTTAGCACAACTTACATAAGCCTTAACACATCATGTACATGTAACTGAAGATTCTGAAGGTTCCTTGTGTCCGTGTTAGAATGTAATAAGTTACAAAATCCAACACTTCCTTAGAGAGGGAGGTAGAATTTTGTTGAATGTCAGATTGTGTAAAATTGACATCCAAAGTTCGTGAGCTTTGGCATAACTTACACAAGTTTTAATGCATAGTAACTGAAGAAGCTTCCTTGTGTCTGAGTTTCAGAAAATCAATGTATTCACTATATCTAACATTTCCTGATATGTAGAGGGGAAGTAGCATTTTGTTGAATGTGAAACTGTGTGAGGTTTAGATCCATGGTTCAGGACCTTTGCACAACTTTCACAAACCTTATCACATAGAGACTGGAGACTGAAGCTTCAGTGTCAGAATGTATTTAAACTTAATCCAACATTTCCTTAGAGAGGGAGGTAGCATTTTGTTGAAAGTATAAATGTGTAAAACTGTGAGCTATACTTTATGACCTTGGTCACAAGTTGCATAAAACTTTCTTGTGTCAGAAGTTACTAACTCAAACTTTTCCTTAACTTTCTCCCTGCTGCCAACTTTTGTAACCAATACCATATCTTGTGTCAAAAGGCTATAGCAGCAGGGATAATGTTAAAGATGAATTGTACTTGCCACAATTTGTTGACTGTAGAAATGTGTGAGGTTGACATTCATAGTAGTTCACCACCCACAGCACTACTTACACAAATCATGTTGCATAATAATTGAGCTTTCTTGTGCTGGAATACCCTTACTCAAACTTTTAATTCAAGACAAAAGACAAGTACTTTTTAGTACATTTTGTTGAATGTACATGTAGAGCTGTGTATGGTTGACATTCATGGTTCATTAACATGCCACACAGCACAAACCTGCACAAACCTTATCACATTCATTCATTTCTTGCGCTAGAACTGACTAACCCAAACTTTTCCTTCAAGAGGAAAGACTAAGTGTACTTGCCACAATTTGTTGAATGTAGAACTGTGTAAGGTTGACATTCATGGTTCATGCCCCGTGGCATATTACACAGACCCATGGCACGGTTGGGTCGGTTAATTATCACCCAATCACGCCCTTATGGATGACACCAATTTACAGGCATGTACCCCCCTGCCTGGCAATTTCCACTGACTGATCACTCCTCTGCCCTGGATGTCTGACCTTTTGCGTTTTTGGACGGGAAGCCGTACAGCATGCTGATAGGTAAATGGAAGGCAGGTCGGGCGACTGGTGTTACAGGGCCAGGGCTGGTGCCGAGGGAACATAATTCATAACAAGGCTACTAAAATAATTTCTATAAATATTTGCATGTTTTCTATGTAATGTAACTTATGTATTACTTATAACTGTTCATTATTCTTTCCTGCCCTTCGTTACATGTAATGTTTTTATTTGCTCATTTTGTGTAGGTGTGCACGTTATCAGCCTACTTGCTGCCCAGTGAACTCATTGTATTGTTACGTTACAATTTTGATTAAATAAAATAAATAACAAGGCAACTGGAGACGTCAGAGTTCACCCCCTTGTGACATCCATAATGCTTTGTGACACTTCCAGTCCCACAGACAAAAATATGGTAGAAGTACTAAAGATATGGGTCTGGTATATTGTGTACAAGTATGTTGGGAATTGTAGATTTACACACACACAAACAAAAAACATTTTATATTACAAAATAAACACACACACACACACACACACACAACCTACTTTTCCTCCTACCCTAAAATTAAGTCCATGCAAAAATAAATAGATTTACAGTACTTGAAGTAAAACACAAGAGGTGCTCAAAGTCAACAAAATCACATAACAAAGGCAATGTCTACAAGGCCAGATACTGTGCAGACTCTAACAGGCACCACATGCTGGCCCATATCTGTTAGGAACACCTGGGTGATGGCTTCCTATTGGATGATGGACAACACATTCTACCATCATAGACATAACTAGTAAGGAACAAACCACTGGGGATTTGGGTGGGGAACGTCATACAGGGCTTAGAGGAGTTGGGTTGCATGTGGCAAGGAGTGAAAAGCAAGCACTTAACAGTTTGAATTGGATTCTGCACACCCTCAAGTCTAAGTGTCTATCTCTTTCAGGAAATAATTCTGAATGAAGCAGAAACTATGTGGTTCCACCTGTCTTATTGAGGGATAACTGCAGTATACAGTAAATTTATAAAAGAGCTGGAGGACCATTCTATTCCAAAAATCTCCTCTGTCTATATCTGATATCAATAAAGATTATGGGATATTTTGAAGTATGAAAAGGCAAGTGAAGAACTTCTAGTTCTTCTTATCCACAAATGGTGTGCAGGCTTCTTTGTAATAACAACTACTAGTATTTTATGGTAACGTCACACCAGTGAATTCACAATTCCTTCTCCCATTTCGCCAAATCAACTTTTACCGTCCCCATCGACCATCCCCAATAAAAACAGATGGACTTCAGCGGAGTTCCAGATGGTCCATTTTAGCAGAAATAACTGCTGTAGTTAATGAGGCTAATAACTAGGCATCAAGACAGATTTGTGTTTGATCCCGTCTGTATTCCATCCCCGATAAAGGCAGGCGGACTGTAATAGTGAGTGTCCAGATGGTGTACTCAGGTAGACATCACTGCTAACGCTGATGAGCCTCGTAACTACACATCAACTCAACTTCTCTCAAACTACTTCTCAGTTGCAGAGGGCCAAGGCCAAGATTGGTGCTTGCTGGTAATGAAATATAAGGCCACAGCAACTGTCAGGAAGACTTGACTATTTCAACTACCTGATACTTTGTGTTCTAAGGTATAGACATCTGTTTTCATGTTTATCAGTGAGACATTCCTCTGATTCAATCAAAGTTTCTTGCTCACTTTAGCAGAGGGAAAGCAAATGGTGTATTTTGGGTGCTTTCCATGGTGCTGAAAGTATGGTTGCTGCTGATGAGCCTCGTAACTACACATCAACTCTAGTCAACTTCTCTCAAACTACTTCTCAGTTGCAGAGGGCCAAGGCCAAGTTCGGTGCTCGCTGGTAATGAAATGTAAGGCCACAGTAATTACATTCCTTGGTTCTCTGACATTTTAAGCACAAAGATTTAGTTAGAGAATAACATAAAAACCAAAAATTTTGAGGAAAACTAATCTATTTTCACTACCTAACAACAACCCTAACCACAAGACCACCTTGCCATACATACTCAGCACTATGTCTATACTAGGCAATAAAAGAGGACAGGCTTCACCCCCTTCAATACATCCTCAGTATTACCAGAACTGCATGCAAACATTAGATTCACAGCAAGAAAGCTCTGTAAAATCTGGTTATTACCAGTAAGCTGAGATATAAAAGAATAATAACCCCAGTCTGCCAGTCAATACTGGAGTCAGCAGGACTGTCCTATTTGATCTGTCAAATGTTAGGATTAACGACTTTGAAAGGAAGGGGTGATAAAGTACTGTTTTACTGTTCATACAGGAGTATAGAGAGGATTATGGTGGATTACAGAGATGTATAGTTTATAGTATATGCAATTAGATTTTACGTATGATGTCCTGTTGAACAATAACATTCTAATGTTTGGTGATATCAAACTGGCATCAGAGCAAAACCCTGCAATCAGTATTCACCATGTTAGATACATAAACAGCCAAATCCAACTGTTGAATTTGATAACCTTGTGAAGTTTTTAGTTTCCTGATAATGCATTATCATCATCAACAGGTGGTAGGAATATGCATTGACATGGTCAGCTGTTTCCCATTTAGATGACATGATAACCTTCCTTGCATTTCTGGTTGGGATAGGTTTAACTCATGTTAACTGTTGGACAGGAAATGTACATTGACTTCTGAAAATAATTTCATCATACATGTAAGGTACATAGTCAAAGCTACAAACGTACGTTTGCACAAATTGATATCTACTAATTACCCGTAGTTATTAGAGAATAACTAAATTTTAATTAGGCAATTAGATTATTCTCTAATAACTATGGATAATTAGTAGATATCAATTTGTGCAAACGTACGTTTGTAGCTTTGACCATTATGCACATGAAAATCATATTTCTATTTCACTTACTTGTACCAAAGTGCTATATTATAACTTTAAAGATAATTACATTTGGGGCAATAAAACGTGATGATGTCATCCATATGGTCCAAAAAATCATATTCATAACCCCTTTGTACCCAGGTATCAATAATCAGTACAACTACAGTTCTTTCTAAATTTGTTTGTGAGAAAACGATGGAAAGTCAAAATGCTAAATTAGCCAGGGAGGACACCTTAAACACAGCCAGTAATGTCTCTCACCTGCTTACATTTCATTCTCTATCAAACATCTTCCTCAGAGCTTCCTATGTCTATCAGGCATCTTCCTACATTGGCTACACAAAGCAAAACTCTCAGGAAGGTGTCTGATAGGCATAAAAACTGTAAGCAGGTGAGAGACATAACTGGTTGTGTAAAACTATAATCCTAGTACATTGATTCGTTTCATCTTTTCTTTTTATGATTGATTTAGTTAAATCTATATGAAAATGTAAAAACTATACATTCAAGGTGACAGCAGGTGCAGCAAAAACAAAGTTAATGATATATTTGAATGTTACAATGATTTGTAGTATAAAGTTCACAGTATAGAAGCGACCGTAAAACACGCAAATATAAAGTACCGTAAAAAATGTGTGATTTACAGTGGCACCTTGCAGCTGTTTGGGATATCAATGACCTGCAAAAGTTTGTGCCTCTGTTATTTTCTTCTGCCAACTACTTGTATCAAATTTTCCAGTTCTTTGATCCCATTGGTGATTCCTAAAGCGTGCTGTACTGGTAACTAACCAAGCTACACAGTTAGAAAAAAGTTTTATGCACATGTGCTACATTTACCAAGCTATACAGACAACTGGATTTGTGTAGGATTTTTACAACATTTCTTTGTAGGAAATTACAACCATTACACATAATCCTACACGGCGGTCATATCTCTTTATCACTACTTTTTGCAAGATAGTTAAAAAAAGATGACTAGAAGAGTAGAGCCATGGTTACATGTCCCAGTTGGCAAAATGACTACTTTCCATTGTGCCGTACATTAAATAACATGTCAATAACTGTTATTGTGCATAATAAAAGTCTTTATTGCCAGGGAGTTACATGGACATTTACGACAATGCTGGAGATAACACGCCTCAGAAGATGTTGAGGAAGATTACTCTGTTTTACAACTCCAACCGTAAAAAGTTTGGGCTCATTTGGAAGGTAGCCAAAGGAAACTTTTGTGAGAAGGATTTTGTAACATCAAAATGTCAGAATATTGCTTCATCTAATTTCTTGGCTTACTGGCTTTTGTAGAAAATTGATAAAGTGAGCAAAAAAAAATTATGAATCAACAAAATAAACCTCAATATAAAAACCTCAAAAATAAATGGTTGACTTACTCTAGACAATAGACATGCATATGAAGTATTTGTTATACCTAACCACTGGACTATGCATGCTAAAGGAAAAATTTCTGGTATCAAAATATGAATTGATAATGTGTGTGTATACTGCCTAGAATTTTGTTTGTTTGTTTTGCCTTCAAGCAAAATACAGCAGTTCTCTTCAGTAAATACTTAAAAGTGTGTCTCTCTTAAAATATGGGAAGATATCCCTAACCAAAGCTAGGTTCTCATTTTCACCTGAGTCCATTGAGGAGAAGTACTCAGTCTGGTGCAAAGTACCCTTCCCAAGGACATAATCGTGGAGCCTGCCTGGGATTCAAACTCAGAACCTTCAGATTCTGAGATAACAACCCTAACCACAAGACCACCTTGCAATCAGAATAGTGATAAAATGATGCAGAAAACCCTAGTACCAGGAAGTTCCATTTGTGTGGCCTAATAGCAAATATCTCTGATGAAATAGAGCTGATTTTCTTTGACTGCCGCAGGGATAAAACTAGCTTCTGTAAAAGAGTAGTTGTTGTGGATTTGTCACGGTTGGTAAACTAAACAGCCAGCCATATTTCGCATCATTGCTACAAATCAGTCTATTTACTGGTATAAACCTTGTTATATCTGGATTGGATTGTAAACCCTATCATATAAGTCCCAGGCTGCAATAACTACTGATAGCAGTGGTATTGGTTTTGTGAGCACGACTGCACTAACAAATAACAAAATATAAAAATACTTTTTATTAATGCCTCACCCATTCATTTTGTGTGCTGACGTTCTTACCATATTTCTTCTCATTGCGTACACATCCCTATTATTACACGTTCCTGCAATCGATGGAAAATCTGGTGCTGGCTAGAGCCCTGGCATTGACTTTCTAGCCATGTTTGTTTGTTTGTGTTTTACTTAGCCAGGGTGGCCCATGTCAGTGTGAGGCACTGCTTTACAGTGGGGCCCCGCATTTTGAGTTCAGCATTATGCAGAGCGGTGTAGCTACATCATTTACTGGGTACTTGTGTCATGAAGTAATCCTGGGAAATTACCTTAGAATGCATCATCACAAACCATTAGAGATTTTGTAGACAACGAGAAGCTTAAGATATTCCTCCTTTATTGCTGTTCACTTACAAACACACACATCAACGGGTCGGAAATTATGGAGGGCGATGCTCCAATATTCACACAGTCAGAGGATAAGGGAAGCCATTAACCTGGGAGTAACAAGCTCAAATTGCACGCCAACTTCCTGCAAATGGCACCCTGCACCAGCTTTACAGGGTTCTGTAAATTCCAGGGATTTGGGTTGAAAGGCTTAGATGGCAACTCGTGTTTTTCCCTGCAACTGATGATGGTGTCAGGACACTAACGGGTTACAAATCTGCTCTTGTTAACCATCATCCTGCTGTGTAGCCTTCTGGTGCCAAATTTTTATTGGTAAGGGAGTTAGACAGCAGGGAGAAAGTTAAAGATTAAGGTGCTTCAGTCAGACGTGGGTGGGGTAGGGGGCAACCTCATGTTCCAAGGCCCTTAGGTTATATTACCTATACATTCAGAATGCTCCACCTTTGTTCCGACACCCCTACATTCTGACAAGGTTCAACAACTGATCTTGTGTAGACATACATGTAGTTCTAAGTATTCAGCACAGTACAGTAGACACAACCATACTTTCAGCACCATGGAGAGTTACCAAAACCCACCATTTGGTTACCGCTAAAGGGAATGAGAAACTTTGAGTGAATCAGAAGAGTATCTAATGAAGACAGAGGTCTGTACCTTGGAACACACCATATCAGAGAGTTGAAATCGTTTTCCTTCCAGTTTTTTGTTTTCATGTTACTCTCTTGCTAAATCTATCTTGTGGCTTCTCAGTATGATTCTCAACCTTCTAAAGTATGATTCTCAACCTTTACACACTTTGTCATAATCAGAAGCACATTGGACTTCCCTCTTTCAAATAAGTTGATTGATCAAGTAAACTACAGCACATTTGATCCAAATTCACCATGAAACACTAGCACTATGAATATCTTGTGTTGTTTTTATTGTAAATCTGCCCTCCTCAGCACAGTCCCTCCCTGCTCAATCATGCCACCTCTAGTCCTGCCATCTTTCCTCCAAGAAAATCCCTCAATTGTCTTTGCAGTTGCCCTTTAAAGTCTTTTCTAGAAGAACCTACATTGCCTTGACATCAGGAGTATCCTGTAATTCCTCTTTCCTGCAGAAAGATCCCTTCTCCGGCTAGGACAGCACCAACCTGACACACAATATATTTTGTAGAACATTCTAATGGCTTTCCATGGTGCTGAACATGCAGTTCAAGTGCAGTGGGATCTTCAATGTGCAGAGGTGTGACTCTTCTCAAATATGGGACCTCTGGATTTCCATAACCAAAGTTGGATCCTCATTTTTGCCTGTCGAGTAAGGAAAGTGTTAAGGGCCTTTAATTTCCCATAGACACCACAGTGGGGCCTGTAAGGGATTCAAACCCTGAGTTAACAACCCTGACCACAAGACCTGTTTCCATCCATTTCAGTGTGAATGTATCAGCATCAGTCTATACCAATTCATTTGCTTAATTCTCGAGCATTTTTAGAGAAAAATTTGAAGAAGAGGAAAACTATGTGTACCAAAGTACAAACTTTCCCTTCAGACTATGTTTCACCTTAAACTTAAGTCCATCTGTGTTACCATTGTTTATCTGCTTATCCACAGACTTCTTACAGCCCAGATGACAGATCACCAATAGGTAACAGTCCCACTAAGGACACCTCAGGACAAAAACAGCAGTTTTGTAGACCATGCAGAACAGCCCAGTCTCTGGTATAATCCCAGATGGAGATATAGCTGTGGTTAAGGATTTCTTCAATATCACAGGATAAAGCACTAGGCCAGATCATTTGGTCATTGTCAGAAAGTACTGAATAATATTGGTGTCCAAATAAAACTTCTCTCTCCATGGAGCGAAACACAGTTAATAGACAAATCTTTGTAGAATGTAGAAAAGTTTGTACAGAATGATGTTGTTTAAAGGTGAAAGCTTTAAACAAAATGGAAAGTTTGATACACAGTAGGGTTTATACCACCCCTCACTGGTTGATATAGGTGATATACCCTTTTGTTGGCTAATACAAGACAGGGTCACCAGGTCTCTGTCAGGGTGATGATGTTAAGTACAGTGTGGTCAATATGAGACGGAGGTTTGCCAGGCCTTCATCTGGGTCATTTGTTGTGAATCACCAACCTCCAGATAGTATTTGAACTGTTACACACCTGTGGCATGCCCCTACTCTATTTCAGAAAGTGTGGTGGGATCTTTAATGTGCTTGAGTTGTGGCTCTCTGCAAACAATGTGCTTGCATCCAAGAGGACTTCCCTTGCCAGAGCTAGGTACTCATTTTCACCCGAGTCATGTGAGAAAACAGGTGGAAAGTGCCCTTCCCAAGGACACAACAGTGGAGCCCACCAGGGATTTGAACCCAGGACCTTCAGAATCTGAGTCAACAACCCTAACCACCTTGCCACCTTGCCAACCCTATCACCTCGCCCACCTTATGTATCATTCAAAACAGACAGCTGACCCTTAGTTTTGGATGACGCAGGACGTCTGCCCCACTGCTTTCACATATCACACTTTCCAAAAAGATCAATGGCAAGAGAAGCGCTTATCTTGTATTGTGTATCTACTTGTCCTCATGAGGAAACAGCAGTGCAAAGATTTCCGAAAACGCCGGAGGGCAGACAGGCAATCAGGATACTGGTGCGTCATGTTAGTCTAATGGTTGCATTTGTGAGGCATGTCTTGACCCCGTTCTTCACAATCGTATCACCAACGATAGGCAGTTTTGAGAAGTTTGCAAGGCAGTAACTGTTGGAAGATTTTAGTATCTTACAAGCCTCTTGGGTATCCAGTATTGGTATTGCTCTGTAGGCTATGATAAGGGCCCTGCGACCTGATCTGGTATGTGTGCTTGTTTCTGCAAGAGTACCCTGGGAACCAAACTCATGAGGTTGCACTCTGAGAGCTTACATGCATGCATGAGAGTGATACCTAATATCCAGTCCCAAACTCACAGTGCTTCTCCACTATCTGCTGGTCCCAACAGTCCAGCTGGCTGAGTCTTTTACGCTTGCCTCAATGCCTCACAAGTTTGGTTCAGTCATTGAGGCAGGCAAAATGAGGCTCAGCTGACTGGATTGTGGGGGCTAGCAGATAGTGGTGAGGGGGTGTGAGTAAGGGATGGGGTTACCGTATCACTTTCCTGCATGTGTGCAAGCTCTCAATGCACACGGGCTCACAAGTTTGGTTCCCAGGGTTGTGCAAGGGAAATGTTGGTGCAAAAATCCCCCCAAAACACCTCCAGGTAGAAAAGGGTAATAACAAGATGCTTTCCAATGCATATCTTTTTAAGCAGAGATGGCATGATGAGCAGCCACACCAGTTTGACTTGTTGGTTCTCGGATTTAGAACATAATGCTGATGAGCGGATGGAAGATCCACATGAAAATGGTTTGAGGAGAAAGTCTATACCTAATGGTCCTCAAAGTTTCTTGAAGTGAATATAGTTGTTCCATCCATGCCTCTTTTTTCATATCAATTTCTTAGAGTTTTGAAATGTTCAAGAACCAAGGAAATAACTTGGTCTGGCCTTCGGGTCATAAGAAAAGGTCCAGACTGGGTCCTAAAACCTCCTCATCCCTGCCATACTAAAACCAAATATTTACATGCAAACCACTATTGGCAAAATCTCTGTGTGGAGAAATTGCCATCCAATAAGGTCAAAGGTCGGCTGACCCGTCCATATAAGGCAAGCGGAGGGTCAACCTCTTGGAAGGAACCCAAAAATTGGAGTCCAGTCATGTGTGGTGGGGTACAAACCCTGGAGGAGTGGAGTTGGTCCTGGTGGTATTTAAACTTGCTCAGAGTGTGATTGCTGCTGCATGGATTACACACAATTGTGAACATAAAAGGTGTAAAACGCCAACAAACCTTGACCTGCGCTGACCTCTGCCATCCTTGCTGTGGATAGGGCCGCTCGGAATCGATTGCGTTGGACTGGAAATTAGGGCCAGGCTGCTTCGGCCACAAACTTTACTTAAGTCTCATCTGAGGATGAAAAGAAGGTTTTATTATTTTTCATTTGATTGGATTTGATGATGGACAGTTAAGGCTGCCCAGCTGGCCAAATTAAGGGCAACAAAACTTTACCTCCTTACTTAAAAATCTTGCTGTAGAATGAAACTAGGTTCTATTAATTTTCTTTGCATCAGTTTTCCTGACACAAAATCAACTTGGAAGTTGCAAAACTTTCCCAGAAGTTTTTAGACACTGCATACAAGGATGTAGAAGTTTCTGAAATTCTACATTTTTTTAACACGGTGAAAGTACTGTATGGCTGTTATAGAACATCAAGGCAACTGTTTTGAACTCTTTGAATGAAAATTTTGTTTTATGTGTCTGAGTCTTACCTGTAGAACAAAGAAGCTCTAACAGGGTGCACACCAATTCAATTTCTTGGTTCTTGGATTTGCCTTCCTCATTTTTTCCCCTGATTTGACCAAAAAAAAAACATGTTTCAGTCAGATTCTGAATTAAACCCAAATGCTCATATTTTGAGAGTTGAAGTTCTTGCTAGTACTAGTTGCTAGTGCTCCTACTACATGTAGTACTTGTTACATTTTTCATTGTTTGAATAACATAAAGCAGCCTTAGCTAGTATATACAGACTATATTATGTTGACTTTGTGGCTGCTATGGTAACATTCGGGGCCCCTTACCAGATGCCTAGGCATGTTTCTATTTCTAATTCTTTCACCCACCCACCCAGCCCACTTCATTGATTTCCTGAAAAAATCTGTGAACCAACAAATGAATTTTGTGTGGCCTTACCGCAGAGGTTCAGTCTCTGTTACAGATGGATACCCTAAGGTGTCAGATAATGAACATTAAGTATTTATTGAACAATGTTCCCCTGCAGGCCTGTCCTGATCTCAGTGACACCGGCTCATATTGCTAGGTTGGCACTTCTGACACGGCGTCTACCCAAGTGAACAGATATTCAGAAATGTGATTTTTCCTGCAGTCTGTTTTTATTGATTTCAAAATGATGTTGGGACATTCTTCAAGCTTGCACTGGCTGGTGAGTCACTGAGTTGAAAAATGTGGAAATCCCCCCATTTTGACAGTGAAATTTATACACAGTATTGAGATATTCCTACACAGAGTATGGCGATATTCCATCTGCTCAAGTTCCTTATTTACTCATTGATTGTGGAAATCAATATGTACCAGTCTTGGAGGACCCTATACATTTATGCCTCTGGTGACAAGACACTCTGATACATGTACAACAGTGACAAGAAGCAACCAAATTGAAAATCAATTTTATATCTAATGATAACAGAAACCTGACTTCCAGAAACTTCTCAAGGTTGAAAACTTCTGCCTTTGCAGTGAAAGTCAGTAAAGTGAAGACTGAGATATTCTAAGTTCTGATTTTCATAACAATTGATCTCTGAAATATGCCTCCTATGAGGCCATGTTGACAGGTGAGATGTCACGGCTGCAATCAAATTTTGTGCGGCAGATGTAACCAGGTTTATTTGCTTTGCATAACACACCAGTTTTGTACAGTAAGTACAAGCTGCATAAGACCAGACTGTAAGGTTTGAACCACTCTAACCAAGAACAACTTGTTCTGGTAAGTATGGAGGGATCTTTAATGTGCTCAAGTTGTGGCTCTCCTCAAACAAATGACCTCCAGCTTTAAATTCCATCCAAGAGGACAGCTCATTTCCATTGACAAAATGCTATGTATATCATTGTCACCAGAGTCGAGTAAGGAAATTGGCAAAGTCAATGTGTGGGCAGATATCATCCATAAAACTTACTTGCCATGGCCTTAAGAGGTGTGGAAATTCTCATTATTAGTGATAGTGACATGTACAGTCCAAGGTCTTGTGTTCATTGTTGATCAATATGCTATCCTCCTTTAAGCCTGGGGGGACTGAGATACAGCATTCCTACATCAATATTTATGAAATTTGTGCCTATTTGTCAGTACCACAGTATGCATAATCATTATGAAGAAGGATTCTGTAACTGCAGCTGCCAACACAAAGAATTGTACTGATCCAAACTGCACAAATCCAACATATGGAAAAAAATGGCATCAATATACAAAAAGCCCACAAACCATAGTATGACCAGCCCCTCCAACTTGCTACATAATCCAATCCAACACCACAGGGCGTCTGCTACAGCACCAGTTATGATGGTGACAGCCACTGGTCTAGGTCAATGACCTTTATATAATATGTGTTTGGAGAAGAAGACAATGAAACTGAGAAAACCAATATGTCTACCTTCTGTGAAGGTAAACCTAAAAAAGAACCATGTGTACATAGTCACTAGAGGGAGCAAAAGCCATCTTAATGCTGTGACAGAAACCTCCCCCTTCCCCATACACCCCCAGGTAAAGTCCCTTACAAACAACCAGAAACCTCCTGACACCAGAAATAATCAGTATGAAGACGGGCCCATTTTCACAGGAACGGGTTTGAGAGATTACCGGAATCAATAATGCAGTGACAGAATAGGTGATAAGAAATATGTTATTGTAGGCTAAGATCCCCGTGGGGAGGGCGCGATCGATACATGGAAACTTAAGTTTCCACCAATTCTACTTGATACCGACCCTTGGGAAAGCCTCACACATAGATGATTTATGGAAATTCTTTATTTTCCAGTGTTTTGCCCTATCTCTTAGCCAATTAAAGCATTTCTGTGGAAAATTTATGAGAGGTGTAAACAGTAGATAAACTGGGAGGATTACAGAATGTATGTATTGCTGGATCATTACAGGGCTCGAAATCCTTTCTTCTGAATACTGTGGCAAAATGTACTTTGTCTGTGCCAAATCCCTAAGGTATTGTTCATACATGTAGCATTTCAGCAGAATGTCCTGTTTAACTAAGATTGTATTCACGTATTTAAAGACTACATTCCGTCTATTCCATCTAACAAGACACTGAATTGGTGTGGCTTTAACAGAACATTTCCCTATGAAATGGTCTAATAGATACGTGAAGTTGTTAATGTATGGAATCATCAGTTCATCAAATCTGAGAAACGAAGCTTCCGTTCCACAATCTTATCACATGCCCAAGCAGTATCAACCATCTTATATGGTAAAATATGTGTCAATTGATCCAAACAGCTACGAATGCCGACAGCACGCAACAATGAAAATGTACACCAAGCGTCATGGATGTCCAGGAACATTTAATCCACAGAATCTGTTAGGAGTGCAATTAGCATTCTCTAAGCTTTCCCATTTATGTGGTGTATGTATATTTCATTCCAGTTAAGTGCGAGCAGATTATGCTCAAGGCCAACATTGTCTTTGACATTCGTCAGAGCACATTTGGGATGTCTGCCAGGAGTGAAGACTGAGCCAAGTTCTCTAATCAACACTGGTTTCCTCCAAATGTTAAGCAGGTTGTGGAACTGCTGATATGAAGAGTTTGACAAAAACCTGTTTGTTTGTGGAAGGACTGACATGAGTCAAAACTTTAAAGGTGCCCAATGCAAGTTCAGGGTGGCAAAAAAAAGCTAATAGTATATGATTTCTTGGTTCAGCACCTACCAATGAATAGAGGGTTTTCATTGACGTCATAATAATTATCATATGAGTCCCGGCGACCAGGTGTTGGCGGGTAAACTGATTAAGTAGCAGCATCTTGGCTTGTTTAACGGATATAGACTGTAATCCAACATGGCGCATGTGAAAAGCCTGTATAGCTAGAATCAGCAACAAGATACGAAGCAAGAAACCATTTTCCATAAGTGACATCACATTTTTCCTCTCACAGATATCATTGTTGATTCAACTTATTACTGTTAAAATAATGTCCAGAAACTTAACCTGCCTTGAAATCGCTTAGAGTGCCTTTTACAATGGTTATAATTGACAGGCTACATTTCAGAGGCAGTCTTAACTGATTTGAAAATCTATACCTCAACACAGTACAGTACAAATAATGATATAATAACAGCTGCAATGAAAGACAATTATGGCATATGCATGGTCACTATAAACAAGACAAGAAAAGAATGGAAACTATGATGGGACAAAAAGTGTTGAACCTACGTGAACCGTCATGCAGCTAGCCTTTCTCCAAGGACACCCCATGTGCCTGTATGTTATGTTAATGACATTTCTGGGCAGGCACAAGACTCATTAGCCACCTGTGAACCCACCAGTGGTGACTGGGGTAATGAAGTTACAATCTTCATTAACCTAATTAACAAGGATGGTTCCCATTGATTCATAGATACTGTACTTGTAGACAACATCACTCATTAAATGGCGGCCACCTTGGTTCTAAGGAAAGAAAAGTATATCTAAGGCCACACTAATCTTATTCCTTGGTCCTTTAACATTTTGGGAGAAATTTTAGTTACAGGATAAAATAAGAACAATAGAAATAACAAAAAATAATAAAAAGGAAGAAAAACTTGCATGTGACTATATTAGTTTCTTTTATATGTGTTTGTTGACTTTTCCTCTGTCTTTTGTGCATTTCAGCATTATTCGTATGTTAGTTAAAGTTTAATGAATGTAAGTCTTATGTTATCATCTTAATTTGTAATAACGTATTTGTGAATCTGTTTGCATTTTATGAATCCAGGAAGAATAGATTAGATGTTGATATCTAATGTAATGGATTTCAAATAAAACATCAACATCAACAGTACTGGACTTAATGATGGTAGTAAATAAAAGTCAAGTCCTCTAATTTGATTTACTACCATTGTTTAAGTCTGAAATCACTGGACAATTTACTCTCATTGTACAACATTAACAATACCAGACTATACAGGCATTTACTACCATTAAATCTAACTTTTTGTACAGTGAATCATACAGATGATACATGTACATACTAGCATACATGGCCACAATACAAAAATAGAAGAAATCCAAGTTCAAACACTTAACATCCAGTAGGACATCCTTCAGGGTTTTCCACTGGTGCCTGTTCCAAGAAAATTGCCCACATTTGACCTCTTTCCAGCCCCTAATTGGATTTCAATGGACCATTGGCACCATTATTGGAATAGTGATATATGCCGGTCAATATCAGGCAATACAGTTTACAGGGACCAACCCTGGACTGAAACGATTTGGTAGTTGTTAATGGGTCGTCTGGGAGGCAGAGCTTTTGGGGATGCTGAATGGAACAGATGATCAAAGATGGTCTGACACACGGATAAAGCAAAGAGCTCCACACCTCATTTGTTCAGACAGCTTAATGCCCCAGTCGTGAATCATCAGAGGAGGATTTGCCAGATTTAGTTACATTGATTCAGCACCACTATAATTTCAGCACCGAGGACAGAACACTGGTAAAATAGTCTTCCAAGTTCTATAACTTTACGAGTCCAATGTCCTTTAATTTGGCACACCAATTTAATTTTGTAGGTTATCGATTTTTTTAGAAATAATATGAAGCAGGAAAAAAAGGCCTAATATGATTTTGGAGATGATATAGAACCTGAAGTTTTTTTTTTTTTGCAAATCAGAAAAAAATGAAGAGGGCAAATCCAAGAACCAATTGATTAAATTGGTCTGGCCTAAAGCCATGTAAAATTTTTTTCAAGATTCAGATAATACTGAAATGCAAGACATCCTACCAGTTTATACTTCTAACAGTAAGACTCAGTACAAACTTTACAAGTTCAGCCTTTCTTCTATTAACAAACTAACTGTGTTACCCCTCTGGTCTATGGCACACTTGAATAGACAATACTAAAGAGACATGATAAAACTGATTTTACTTTTAGTGTTGTTAAGATATGCCAGCCAAACGACATGGTTTTTATTGTGCATTGCTGGACCATCATTGACATTTCTAAGTGGCCCATACTTATGAACAAAACTTAATCTCCTTTGGCCAAAGGTGCACTTAGGTAGAGAATTTAATAGGAAGACATGATGAAAGTCACTTGGATGTTGACATACATGTATTTCACAAAAACGACATGGTTTTATAGATGCAAATTCTGACCTTTGTTCCAACAGAAAGGAAACACTCACCATGAATTTTGTGTTAGACCAAAGCTTGAATTTGAGTCTACCAACACAGATGAGCTTTCATTTGGACCTGATTTTATGTGATGAATTACTAGACCACTGTTTGCATTTGCTACAGGCCCTCTGTAAAACGTTATAAAGCTCTATAATAGCACATTATCGGTGAGTTGTAAAGCTCAACATTACCCTTTCAGCGTCAGTAATGACTATGTTTACCAGATTTAGGGGGCCATGTAGGCAGCGACATAAACTAAGACCTTCTTCATGGATGATCAATAAAGATTCGGACCTGTAATGATTTTCCCTACTCGGCACCCACTAAAAGGCTTACAGTGTCGTCCAAAGGCCTCGGATAATCCTGCTCCAACTCACAAAACATGCTGCAAATTGCTTCTGCACAGCCTATAGGATTTTGTCGGGTTTGCAGGCACCAATTTACAACGGAATGAGTAAGGTACCGGAGTTACTGGTTCTGTGATCCGCTTCGCCCGAGCTTCTCAACAGAAATGTTGATAGAACGGCTCGAAAGAGAAATACATTGTGCTTTATTGATAGGAACTTTTAAAGCCGTCACTCGGTAAACTGTAAAATTTACCAGGATCCCTACAGAGATACGTCATAATCTCAAACCGTTTATTGAACTGTACAGAGCAATTGTAACCAGGATGTGCAGCTGCATTGCATTAATGCATAAAACATCAAAACGTCACATTGGAACTAGCTCTAAAGGCAGAATCACTGTAAATGTTAGTGCTAAAAGAGATCAATATATGGGTTTATGCTGGGCTAGTCTTGATTATGCACATCTTGAAGTACTTCACCGAGATGAAACTACAACTTACTGATTTTATGGCAAACAATTTCTTATGAGAACAATCCCTGATAAACTTTTACAAGAGAGAAAACAGAGTAAAGTTTTCATTGTAAGTTTAACAATCTGCAGCACTCATGGAGCAGATAAAATGCATGAGCTGTTGACGTTTAAGACTTCCTGACTTTATGTTTTTATAGCAAAGAATTACTCATGAATCCAGACCCTTGATAGTAAGCTTTTACAAGAAGATAACAAAGACCAAACAGGACAAAGTCTTCCCCTATAACTATAGAGTGCCCATAGAAGAGATACATGTAAAATGTATTATTCGTTATGTTTTACGACTTCCTGATTTTTATAACAAAGAATTGCTCATGAATCCAAACCTTTGACAATATGCCTTTATATTAGAAGACAACACAGACTAAACAGGACAAAAGCTTTTTTCTGGTAACTTTAACTAGATTACTCATAAAAGAGATAAAATGCATGAACCACTGATGTTTACAATTTCCTGATCGTATAGCAAAGAATACCCCTTGAATTCAAATCCTGATTAGATCAACTTTTACATGGAGATGACAAAGACCAGACTAGATAAAGTTTTCCTGGTACAGTTTAACAAGATTGTTTGCAGAAGGAATAAAGTTGTGATTACATCTTGGTTAAAGGGTGACCACCTTGTTCCAAAGAGATATGGTCAGTATAACAGTACAAAGTACGGCGCCTGCACAAAAGTTAGAACGTATTGTGCATAAAACGTCTCATTTAATGTCATATTTGTGTATTTAAGGATGGCAATCTGTCTAAAGTTTTCAAATGTTGTGTCAGAAAAGATATTGTCTACAACAGGTAAAAGTTCTGATGTTGACCAAACATCACACAAAAACATTGAGGAATACTGATTCTGCACAGTATGCAGTATGCCCTGCTAACATGCTGATATAATCACATAATACGGGCTTTGTTATCATAATTAAGGGAAGAAGTACTGTACAAAGTTTGACAGTAAAACTTGACTTTGTGATGAAAAAAAGCAAAGACAGCATGAAGTATCTGACAGGAAACTTTTATACTAGATATTCATCACTACAGACTGCTGCTAGATGTCGTTGCTGAGAACGTTAAACTTACCATTAATACATCTGCTCATTATACAAAGTAAATCCCTTTGAGACACTGGAGCAAACAGATTTCAGATATTGCCTTCAGACACAAACCCTCCCGGGGGGCAGCATTTCAGTACTGGGTGGGCCGGCTACTGTCTCCTTACAGCCAAAGGCTGAATTGTGAGGAGCTTACAAACGGTGGGGCTGAATTGGAAGGGTCTGGAGCCGCGGGCTGCCATTTGGTGCTAACTCATGACTGTGAGCTTTTAACCACTCACACCGGGAAGGACCCCTACTCTATTCCACAAGTGTGGTGGCACTTTAATGTACATGGATTCGAGGTTGTTCTCTTGCTAAATTTTTTGTGATGGATGTCACTTGAAACGTCCGGAGGTAATCTTCATAATTTACTGGTATTCAGAGTAGTAGAGTTTGATTTGTCTGTGAATGGTGTAGACTTCCTTCAAATAGGTTCATTTCTTAAGAGCAACAGTTGGAAAAAAAGGATGAATGATGATCATGACAAATTGTATACCGTGTTTGGTAGTTTAATTTTCCTGTCAGCAACCACCACTGTGAGTTTGAAGTGTGATTCTCGAGGGAGAGCGGTGCCACAGATTTTAGCTTAACCCGACTCGACATAGATGACTTGTGAAAGGTCTACTGGGACCTTTGGAAATGTAGAAAATCATTTTAGTGCCCCGAAGCAGAACTGAGACACACTGAGACATCTTCGCTCATGATCTCAGTACATGAGGCCTGAATATCTAATGACAGATATACTTAATATGTCCTGTCCAATTCTGTAATCCTGAGCTGCAAGTTAAGCTACTTTTTCGTCACAGATCAGGCCAACTCCAACTTCTTATCCTTCTGACCTCCATCAGTAATGGTTAATACTGGATCTCAGGCTCAGGGATGGAACCTGCAGTTTTCATCCAAATTCACTTCACCTAGACTTACAGTGAAGGGATAATTACCAAAAGTAAAGAGGATTTGGGGTTCAAAGATTGAAAAATTAAATGTAGATAACCCGTGAGTAATCTGTTTTGATTTGGAACCGAATATCTCACTCTATGTAAGCGTTACAATGCATGTCACATTACTTTTTGTTTTGGACCTAATTGTTAGCAGTAACAACTAGTTTCAGTGTATAGTGAACCAGTCAAAAATGTCTTGTTAAAGAAGATAAAGACAGATAGTAAGAGTAGAACTCTAATATTTATTTTGTATTTCCCAGTTCTGTTTTGTAGTTGACCTTATAAAACTCGCTGTACTTTTTTGCATCAATTATGATCAATATAAAGGCCCTTTGTTATATAACAGGCAAATGATGCAACAGGCCAGGAGACTTCTTCAATGCAAGTGCAAGTTCCTTTAACTTCCTAAGATTTTGTAAGTCAGTAAGCAGATTGCATTGCTGTGCTGTTTTGGTCCACAGCACCAAGTTCAACAACTTTTTGACGTGCTTGATGTGAACTCTGCACACGTGGCCTTCTAAGCCCTTAAGCCTTCGCTGAGCAGCATCAAAGGTGAAATGGATACCTGTAGGAGGCCAGAGATCCTCCGACTCTGCCATGCCTCAGCAAATCACAAGATTCTACCTCACCGCTGAGTTGAGGCGGCTCCAGTCAATCAACTGTGAAGGAAGGAGACCTTTGATGTGTCCTCGTTCTTAATTCCGTAAGCTCTAACTTCTTAAGAGGCGGAAGCTTTGACGGTGCTGGAAGAATCTTCATCTGAAGGGGAGGGGTAATCTGTGGAAGCAGGGAGAGGATTAGGTGGTAATTAACCTTTCTGCGCCCTAAAGGTCATGTTCTGAAGGTCACTTTGAGCAGGTTTAGAACCCCTGTCCAAACAGAAAATCACCTTACACACCAAGCGGGGATAGGTTAAGAGATTATTTAAACTTACACTAAGGGAGGCCAGTTATGTATTACTAAGAAATTGATGGTCAAGCCCTCATAGTTCATAATCTGACATGTCATTTCTTAAAAGAATATCCTGCTGTGTACTGTTGATAGCCAAGACACAAGGCTAGTCCTTCACTAATGGCTTTGAGTTAGTTTGGCGTCCTAGGCTTAACTGTGTTAAAGTACATTTAGAGAGACATACTGTGACAGTCTCTCTTTGTTTGCTACTATATTTATCTCTATCCAAGTAATTAAACATTCCATCCATTCAATATATAAGTTAGACTGCAGCAGAAGTCAGGAGCAAGAAGTAAGTTAAATTGATTGGTCTTCATACTAGGTTACTACCTGTATCCAATCTTCAGATAGTTCTGAAAGGGAGTTTCTTTCCCTTCTTTTGATCAACGGTGCAGCAGTGCCAAGCACAACTAATCTCACCTCTGCATCCCACCGAGAAATGAATGGACTTGGAGTGTGGAAATCACATCTCCCACACAAGTCAGACCCAGGACCCCATTTATTACACCTGATCCACGTACTGTAGGCAGCTGAGCCGCAGGTCCTGGGTTCCAATCCTGCGGGTAAAGCAATTTAGTGAAGTTTGAGTCTGATAATTTCTCAGTAGACCCTGAAGAAGAGAGTACTCTTTTGAAACACCTTTATGCCTAGCGTCAGGAGATACCGATTGTACTGAAAGTTACGAAGTATTCTTGGCCTCTTGCAGAAGGAGTTATATTTCATCAAAGTTTCATTTGGATGTAGCGAGAAAGTGTCTGACTTTGTCCTACTGGCATTTCCTTTGGGTAATACCTTGACCCTTAGGCCAAACCATCTCACATCCTTGGTTGTCATAGACATTCTAGACATAGGTTTGTGTAGGTTTTGCTATAGCCACTAGATGCTTCTGTCTGGTCTCTCTGCTGCTGATGTCAACTCAAGAAGGAGGCAGCCAGTTTAACATCATTCAGTTCAATTAGTTCAGTTCAGCATAATTCATTTTGAATCCAAGAACCAGTAAATTACCAGTGAATTGTCTGACCCTGATACCCACACTGCAAAGTGGTTCTATCCCCAAACCTAGAGCCCTCTCTGAAGACTTCTGATGTATAGTATACTGTATTACAATCCCTTCCCAGAATAGAAGGTGTCTCTCCTGGAATCAGGCTTTAGAGCATCAACATACAGCTCAGCTGGGATTAGAACCCAGGAGTCCTGAAGCAGGATTACCAATGACAAAGATCGAAGCGTACTGTGGCCTTCCAAAGTCTCCTGAAGCCAGAAAGTTCTGGCAAGTGGCTTGAGCTCAGACAACCCGTCTCCACCGTGATATCTCCAATCTTTATCATAAATGTTCAGTAAAACCCTTTTGAAAGGAAGATCAGGCCTTAGCCCACAAGTTCTGAAGAGGATCAGAGACTGGTCGTTTTGTGGCTCTAGGGCATGAAAAAGATGTAGAGTTCAGCAGGAAGACTGATTTAACAAGGCAAAAATTGGTACAGGCGATTAGAGTGATACTCTGATAAGCTCAAAACATGTATGATGTATTCATCCCTAGGTATCACAGAAAGACGATAATCCATAACCTTAGGAAAAAGTTACTATCATAAACATCACGATAGTTTGCTGATGGAAAGGACTCTCACTACAAGATCCATCTTATGATATCTTATAAAAAATCTTTAGCGGCAACCCTGAGAAAATGGAAGTCAAACTTGCTGAAGGCTTTTCCATGATCCCAAACTCCTTGACAACCATACGATGCAGTCTCCCTCGAAAACTATGGTATCAACAGATGGAAATCATTGGAAAGCACCAGCTTTAAAATATCCATCCCAATACCCAGTGCCAATTACAGAAGAAACCTCTGAATCAGATGCCTTATCCATCTTATAAAAATAGTAAGCTGCATTCTTGAGCAAGTGCAAGCTACTAAACCCCCTGAAGGCTTTTCAGTTATTTCAAACTCTGATAGTTGGACTATAGACAACAGTGCAATTATGTAACAGAACTGGTAAACATCAATGAAAAGAACCAGCTTACAAGAATCTGCCTCATTCCTACCATGCCAATTATTGACAAAAAATGCTCCAAAATAAAAACAGAACTGATAGAAATCAATGAAAATAAGCAGCTTTAAAAAATCCCTCCAAATGCTACCATACTTGTTACTGAGGAGAAAAATTACTTCACTAGGAGAGTGGATATCAGTAGTAAGCATGTCCAGATTTGTATTGTGTCCCAAGGTGGCAATCCTAAGACTGACCAGCTCTAGTGGGTTATAAGATAGAACATCTGGTCATTTTCTACAAATCCTCTTTCCTGGATGACAAACAGTTAGGCTTGTTCTCTGATCCCTAACCTTTTTGGTGGGAGCGACTTCTTTAGCCTGGATTTTTCATTGAAGCCACTAAAGCTTTGAGAAGTCCCTGACAAAGGAAAATTATTAAGCCTTGCTATCAATTGTAGCTTCTAAATCTGGAAAGATCTGTATCTTATTGGTTCTCAAGCTGTTCTTATAGGGTGTGTGATCTGTATCTGTATTGCATAGCATGCCAGTAACTGCCCTTTGGCATAACATGCTATTAAAGCTTTACAGGTACATGTACATGTATGTGGCAGCAACTGGTCATGTTTTCATAAGAGAAAGGAGACTTTGTAGATAAAGATGAAAAATAGTAATTTGCAACATAGAAAATCTGCCCCTACTCTTCTAACTCATTTATAGATTAGTTATCTATTAACTGAATGCATTTTTCCAATGCTGTGCATGAATAAGAAAGACAGTGAATGTTAACCTTTGCAGGAAAATATTGTTTTTGCTCTGTTTTTAGTCTCCTTCCTCTTCTCCAAATCAACAATGTCAGGAAAAGCTGACTATGGTAACTGGAGAGACACCCTGCGGTATTGGATCACATTATATGTACATTATGTAGCAAGTGGCAGGACAGAGATGGAGGAGCTGGTCACCATCTATATCAATGTTTGAGAATAATCAGAGCATTACAATGTAGTTTGGTAGTCTAGACCATGTAAAGGTAGACATTATGCATTTGCTTTGCAAATGTCATCTTTTTAGTTGTTATTGTCAACACACCTGGCCCTCACATATGCAATGGCAGACAGCTATCCAGTGAGGATGCCACCATCATGATGACAAGGAGTCCTGCTCTAAAATAGTATCAAGTGGGTAGTATCATTTTGCTTCTGGGGTATTGTAGCCCACCCAACCTGTAGAGATTGGATCCATTTTTTCAAAGCCTTTGTATATACATACATTGTATATATGACCAGGCCAGGGTATCCACTAGGCATTGGGAGGTATGCAAGTTGGGTTAGCAATCAACAAAAGCCAGATTCCAAACTCTCAGTTTCCAGGAACAGGTCGATGACTGCTGGACCTTGTCCTCATCAGGCCAAGAGACCAGGATATCCTCCACACACACACATCCAGTTCTCAAACAGTATTTCATGGCAAATATCACCGGGCATCCGCAGACAATTGGCCGCCTGCTTTATTCGTCTTTACTGCCCCTTTTGATCTGGAAGCACAGTGGCTTTATCATGGATTTCCACGGTGAAGTCTCGGAGGAAGGAATAAAAGTAGTAAAACCAGGTCAAGCACTCTACAGTCTACCATGACGCCTTCTTAAGTCTCTCCTTTTCTATTGGGGTTCCTTAGGCCATGCCAAGTTATTTCCTTGGTTCTTCAATGTTTTAAAGTTAAACTAGAAGGTAACTGTTGCAACAAATGGTCTAGCCTAATCTACTGTTCTGTTTATTCTTACTCAAAAACATTTTGTGTACTAGTACATGGTTACCAGCCCCTAAAACTCTGCCCTACCACTTGCTACATAAAATAATCCAAAACCAGAGGGTGTCTGCTACAGCACTAGTTACCATGGTGAAAGATGTCTGGTCTACGTCATTGAGCAAGAAGAAAAAACAAAGAAACAGATCAAAAACAGTTAATGTTTTCCTTCTGCATTCATTCTGAATACAGTAAAACCTGAGTGTACGTACAATGTACAAGTAACCACATATTCATAAAACCTACCTGGCCAATGTGACCACATTTTGGTGGTCCTTTAGATAATTTTTTCTCGTTCACACAAGCATTAAGAACATTGTCTACAGTGACCACCTGTCCACATAGACCAGATTTTATTAGTCCCCTGAGTGATCTTGGGAAGTTTTGACTGTATATTCACTGTCTCCCACAAATTGCAATCAAGAACATGTAATTCAAAAGTGGGCAAACTAAAAAATTGGCGTTCAGCTACAAGCCAGGAATCATATGAACCTGTGGAGTAATCTTAGTGTGTGGGAGTAAGCAGTTAGATGGAGAAATATTGTACTTGTCTTTCAAGTCCAATATCAGAAAGCTTTGCAGTCATGCAATCATATACAACAGTGTATACTGAGGCCTTTTCAAAGGGTTTGTTCGCTTTTTAACAGTGACAAATTACTGGAGTTACTGCAATACTACAGGAGTTAGTTATTAAAGGAACATGAGGAGTAATCTTTCTGTGTGGGAGTAAACAGTTAGACAGAGAAATATGTAGTTGTCTTTTATTTCAAGTATGAGAAAGCTTTACAGTCCATCTTGTCATGATCATATTCAACAGCTTGTACTCAAACATTTTCAAAGGGTTTTCTCACTTTTGGA